CTAGCTTGTGTGTACTCGGGTTCTACCTGTAGCTTGAGTAAGGAAATCTTTCTTACCCATTTTTTTATGCTCTTCGGTACACACACAATTAGTCTTTCCTTCTATCAAAGTGGTAAGCTATTTCTTAGCTTTTATATATATATACTGTAGTTCATCTCTCTCAATTCCAATACATATTTGTTGGTATGTCTCTGAACTCTTTCTAACTTGTGAATGTGTATCTTCAGGCATTGGCACCCATCACTGCTACCTTCCATCTTTGGTCTGGGGACTGTTGTAAGTAAGCCTTTTAGCATTTTTCTGTATATGGTTGAATGGTGCATTACATAGAAATTTGATATATTTTCAGTTATATGTTTTTCTGGAGATGGTTTCTTGTTTATAGACGCACCCAGACTTTTTTTCAAAGTTTTGTAAATTTGTTGGTAAAGTATTTGTAAAATCAGACTACTACAAGCATAAAATCTTAAGTGCTCCATAGTACCATACCAACTATGAGTAAAATTGTCTATACAGTATACCTAGGTCATAAAAGTATTTGTGTGTACGTCTGATACCATACTCCTTGTGAGGGAGGAAATGTATATTTTTACCTCTCAGAATGTTTGGTAATATGTTTATTTGTGATGTGTGTATATGTATATATTAACACGTTGTACTGAACGGGGTGAGAATAGCTTGAGCTACCTCATCCCTTTGTGTGTATTTTACCTCAATAAACTTATTTCGATTTCAATTTCAATTTCAACTATGAGTACTAGGCTAGTTTGTGACTTAGTTCTGATTGTAAACCTAGGGGGTATTAATACTTAAGTGAACACATGTAAAGTCACGATGTTTTGCGATGTAAAATTTGTGGGGTAGAACCAGACAAGTATTTGTAATTACCTAAGTGTAGTTACAGGATGAGTGCTATGCTCATGGTGTTCCGTCTTCCCCAGCTCTCTGTTATGATGCTGTGAAACTACTGATTGTTTTGGTATCCACCACTTTACCGCTTAACTTGTTCCAACCATCTTTGACCCCAGAAAAGGAGACTTTCAAAAAAATTTTGTCATCTTTGTTTCCTTAGCTTGAATCTGTCCCCTTTTTTTGAAGTTGCAGGTTTCTGTAATTCCTGTCTGTCAATTTTGTGTTGGGAATGTTCTGAACATATAGAATGTTCCTGTTCACCTAGCAGGAAATAGGTACCTGGGAGTTAGACAGCTGCTACTAGCTGCTTTCTGGAGGGGGTTGTGTGTGTTTGTGGGGGACAGGATCAGTTGATTGATTGACAGTTGAGAGTCGGGCTCAAAAAACCAGAGTTCAACCCCCGCAAGAACAACTGGGCGAGTGCAATAAACTCACTCGCTTAACGATAAATGCACAAAAGTACAACATAGCACTAAACACAATAATAAAGTAATCACTTGGATAATAATAACAATACTATCAGGGTATCTCATAGTCAAACTCACTCAAATTACTTACTCAATCTCTGGCTCTCTGAAACGAGAGAGAAAACAAAACAGTATCACACGGACACTAATTTAATGAGAACAACGGCATAATTAAACTGTATAATTACCTGGAAATTGTCAAATACATATTGTATCATTAAACCGTACAATCTAATGCACAATTAGTACAACACAGGTATGCAGCTAGGCTAGTCCCAGAACTAAGAGGCATGAGTTACGAGGAAAGGCTGCGTGAGATGCACCTCATGACACTGTAAGACAGAAGAGTAAGGGGAGACATGGTCACTACCTACAAAATTCTCAGAGGAATTGACAGGGTACATAAGGATAAACTTTTTAACATGGGTGGTACTTGACCACAGGGACATTAGAAAGAATTTTTTCAGTGTCAGAGTAGGAAACAAGTGGAATGCATTAGGCAGTGATGTGGTGGAGGCTAACTCCATGCACAGTTTCAAATGTAGATATGATAGAGCCCAGTAGGCTCAGGAATCTATACATCAGTTGATTGACAGTTGAGAGGCAGGACCAAAGAGCCAGCGCTCAACCCCCGAAAGCACAACTTGGTGAGTCTGTAGTCGGTGAGTACAGACTAAATGTGTGGAGGTGTGTAACACATACTCAGTCAGAGACGGATTACAGAATCACACACAGACAAGCTGTAATTGTCAACTGTTTTCTATTTCCTCGACCATGCTTCTCTCGCCCATTGATGATGCTTATAAGACAACGTCAGATCGATGGGTTGATATTAGTCAACACTAGGAACACTTTTATCTTAAGGCAGAGTAAATATATTTGTTCTCACTTAAAAGACCAGTCCCTGTCACTCAACAATTCATACATACAGTTGGACCTTGTAGCAGCTTTGATTCTTTTTTTTTTTCCAGCAATTTCTGCGTGTGATTACATGTGGGAAATGAATGACACAGGGTCATAGCTGTAGATACTTGAGCTCTGACCGCATGTCGTTTACATACAAGTAATGGTGACACGCACAGGTGGCCAATGTAGACACGTGTGGTGTACACTTCTCAAGCATAGGACTGCATATGGTTTACATCCAAAAACACATGGGGTGATCAGGTTATCTTGAGATGATTTCAGGGCTTAGTGTCCCTGCGGCCCGGTCCTCGACCTGGCCTCTTTCTTTTTTTTTTTTACACACACCCTCAGGAAGCAGCCTGTAGCAGCTGTCTAACTCCCAGGTACCTATATCCTGCTAGGTGAACAGGGGTATCAGGGTGAAAGAAACTCTACCCATTTGTTTCCACCTCCACTGGGGATTGAACCCAGAACCTTTGGACTATGAATCCCTAACACTGTCCGCTCAGCTGTCAGGCCCCTTATTTACAGATGGTGAAGTGCAGTTGACAAGTCAGACGCGCAGGGGCTTAGCATGGTACAGTATAACCACAGCTGGGAGGCAAGTGAGGGTGTACACCCAGGTGGACTCGGCATGCTAAGCACTAGGTGGCGTGCACAGGGCGTGACACTGGGTTGGGCATGGTGTTTGTGGGTGGCTAACACTGAGGTCCACAATTTATGTTGAAATACAGTTAGAAGTGGGGGAATTGTCTGTGGCTAGGTTACTTATTGGTCACATGCAATTACTTGATGGGCACTTAGGAATCCAAGTGGGTGCAGTTATAACGTGCACCTCGGGGGAGCCGGTCGGCCGAGCGGACAGCACGTTGGACTTGTGATCCTGGGTTCGATCCCAGGCGCCGGCGAGAAACAATGGGCAGAGTTTCTTTCACCCTGCTGCCTAGCAGTAAAATAGGTACCTGGGTGTTGGTCAACTGTCACGGGCTGCTTCCTGGGGGTGGAGGCCTGGTCGAGGACCGGGCTGTGGGGACACTAAAAAAGCCCCGAAATCATCTCAAGATAACCTCAAGAAGATACTGTCATATATGCATTATTCTGCACCTCCTCCAAGTCTTTTCTGATTTTCAGGATCAGAAATATTTCTTTCCCAATCTTTGTCATGTGTCACTCCTGTTAAACTCCTCAGTGAATCTGATGCATTTGATGTTGCTTGTCTTCTTTTTTTGCAGTTGCATTGGCATCCAAAATATCTGGAGTTTTTAATAGTCACAGTGATATATGGTTTTTTGGGCTTGGTACCTTCTTTTGATAACTGCAGTGACACCTCAACTTACGATTGACCCTACTTATGAATTTTTCGAGTTACTACGTAAATTTCGTTGAAAAATGCGACTTGACTTATGACCATGTCGTTGATTAAAAACCTTTGTTATGCGTTTGGGTCGACCGAGCGCTGGGTCCTGGTGGCACGACCGACCCCGCCTCAGTTTACCAGAGCAGCCCGCTTAGTGACGATTGCGCTTGTAAAGAATTTCAGTATTTTTGTGCTTTTTTTGTTTTTTGAATATAAAAGTAATTATTATATGTCATGCCATGGGTCCCAAGAAAGTCAGTGGTAAGGTTCAACCTAAGAAAACACATGTGAGGATAACCATAGAGGAAAAACAAGAGATCATTTGTAAACATGAAAATGGTACGAGGGTTGGTGATGTAGAGTAGAGGATGTTCCTTCCTCATTAAGAGAATGTGTGCAGCATGGGAAGAATGGTAAAGTTTTGCTGAAAAGTGTCACTCAAATCAAGCTGTAGCAGGCTGTTGCAGTAACCTTTTTAATGACAATGTGATGTATCACTTCAGACAAGTGTTACAACATAGGGTAAAACAAGTGTTAGCAGGTTTTTAGAGAAAAAATCAAGCAGTGAGCCATAAGCTTGTCCTAGTGGTATGCAGGCAAAATGTAGGAAAGAGAGAGAGTATCCTAGAAAAGTCATCACTGCCTGATGTTATAATGGAAGGGGACTCCCCCTTCCAAACACTCAACAACTCCCCTCCTCCTCACCGTCTTCAACACACCAACAAGAGTTCTCATTCAAGGTAAGACATACATACTGTATTATAGTGTTATTCAGTATAATATGTATTTTTTAATTTATATTTTTGGGGGTGTGGAATGGATTAATTCAATTTACATAATTTCTTATGCGAAAATTCGTTTCGACTTGCAACCCATCTCTGGGAAAGGATTAAATTCATAAGTCGAGGCCCCACTGTGCTTTACACTGTTTGTCTCTTATTGTGTAGTAATTTGTAAAAGTAATAGGCTTCGAGAGGTGTGGACACGTTAGAATGGTAGATTTTGCCATTGTGCAAGCCACTTCCTTGAAATTTATCCCAATATAGCTAGATACCTAGAAAAACTCCTCCATTGTGTTTATTCAAAATAAGACACAGCAAATACTAAAATTAGGCATTTAAGTCATATAATTAAGTAATTAGAAGCTTGAGAGCAGGGCTAGTAAGTTTTCTTACTAGCTAGGAGTAGTAAGAAAACTTACTAGCTTTACTAGCTAGTAAGGCTAACAAGTTTTCTTACTAGCTATTAAGCCTAATGAGCTTTCTTACTAGCTTCCTAGCTAGTAAGGCTAGTAAGTGTTCTTACTAGGCTCTACCCTGCAATTACAGCAAAGTAAGTTTAGAACTAAAACACAAAAATTATGCTTGAAATATATATTTTATTTACAAGTTTACACACTTCATATAACATGGCTTTAGAGAATCGTCATCCATCTTCTGAGCATCAGCAGCAAACCAGGTAGTTTTTAATATTCATTGACAAAAAGAATATTTAATATACCCAACTAGTAAACAAAAGATATGTAATCTGTCTATAAGACTAATTCATATGCAAGCACTGCATCCACAAATTACTGACCCAGTTATGCACTCAAAAGAAATTAAGCAAAAATATATATATCTGAATATTATTTGTGAATCAATGTTAAAAAAAAATTATTATATTGAAATAATAAGTAATATTTATTTCATTCCCATCAGTTATTTTTCAAAACCATCATTCAAAAGTTACCCTGATAACAGCATAGTCTACTTTTAAATCAGCACTGATAACAATTATAGAACTATGTTTAACAGGAACTATTTGTACTAAGAAACTTACTAAAGTATTTGCTGAAGCAGAAGAAATGTTGGAATTGTCTTCCAAATTTCTTTTATTATTTTAACATGGTTGGATGCAAAGGTTGGAAAGTATAAATTATATAAGCAAGCAAGAAACATTCCTGCAGATAAATGTAGAAAATAATGGGTAAGTAACAGTATTGTCAAAACTGCTTGCAATGTGCACTGCTTGCTTAGTCCATATTGACATGTTTGATAGCTCTGATAATTTTAATTGTTAGATGGGAGGGATATTTATATTTGCACAAAACTATTTGACAAGTCATTGATATATTACAAGAAAACTTATAGAGGGATATATGGAATGTAATTAACTTAAGTGCCACTTCAGTAGAATTTGGAAAAATAAAAAACTGAAAAAAATAATAAATAATAATGTAGGGTTTTCTAACTCAACTATAATTGCAAAGCTCGGACCAAAAAAAACCAAAGATATATTTATACCATTGTGTCACGAGAATGAAGTGTGTTGTAAAAATTATATATGAAAAACTCTTGGACCATTAAAAAATAATAATAATAATTCCATACCTGGTTTTAAAAGCAATGTATTGAAATTTGATTTATTTCCTTAGGAAACTTTGGACTAGAGTGAGTGTGAATGACTTGTCACCCTATGATTTTTAATCCAATTCTCAGCTTACAAATCTAAACCTACGGCATAATCACAGTAGAGTATATGTAACAACTTTGCCCCAAATATTTACTTAAAATTCAATGTTGTGTTGAGAGTATTTTGTGCTTCACATAAAGCATGTCGAACTTTAAGAATTTACGGTAGTAATTATATGGCAACTTTGCAGAAAGTGTCGAGGTACCAAATACATCTGTGGTTCTTGTGAGCTATTGTGTGTTTGTATAGTCAGCAGTCAGAATACCTTGTCTAGAGAGAAGATATCATAAATGCATATATTATCCATCCATGTTAAATTACATTTATGACAGTCATGGGATGATAAACTATATGGAGCAGTCTTGCTATCAGCATCACACATCTCTGTGATACTAAAGCATAAAAGACATCTAGTTTTAAAATATATATAGAATGAGCTGAGCCAATATTCAGGGAAGTACATGTCTAACTTTGGCATGTGATAATTCTTCAAGGAAGTTATCAGTTTGAATAAAAAAAAATCTAATTTTAAAACAAAACAAAATAAAAAGCTTAAAAATAGTGTAGTCTCGGAATATGTTCAACTCAGAGTCTTAAACACTCAATCACTGCAAATTTAATGCAAAAAGAGAGGTGCTCCTTTAAGCACAGGGATAGTTGATAACAAAAATAGTCTGATAAGCACAAGTGATAGCTGTTGAACCTTATTATAGACCATCTTATAACTTAACCTTTGTGCCATAGTTATTAATTCTGGACACAGCAATCATTAACTAAAAACTTACTATTATTTGAACCGACTTTAAAAATTACAGTGAAGCATACCTTGATCAAACCAAACAGAAATTATGGACATATTGAAACAAGCATTTACTAAATCATATTTCAGCTACTACACGACAAACTTAGTTATGTTACATATAAAGAATTAAGAGAATGACCATTAAATTTCAATCAAAATTGATTCAGAAAATATTAAGAATTTTTTGTAAGCTCTTGTTTTGTCAGAATTTAGTCAAGTATTCAACATTTCTATATTAATAAGGTACTGAATATGTACTTTTTTTTTAACAACCAGTATTTAGCCACTCAAATAGTACAGTACTAACTACTCTGAAGCACACTACATATTTTTACTGTGAAAAGATAAAGTGGATAAATGTTTTCACTTTCACACTGTTCAAAAGTCATTGTTTCAGAAATGCTATACTGTAATTGTTAATGCCACACTACTGAATACGGAGTTCCTTGTGCTATCTGTTCACTGATAGGCAACATTGTGTTAAAAGTCAATATAAAACAACTCCAAGTGAAATATATTATTCCAGATAATCAGTGTCTTGCTGAGGTTGCTTGGAAACTAAGTAAATTTGTGTGGTTGCAAAATTACTAAGCTGCAAGAACATCTGAGATCCAGTGAAACATTACAATAGGATCACTATATAACCTTTCACAAGTACAGTACTTGGGACCACTTAGGAAAAATCCCGGTAAGTGCAATAACAAGCATCGTAACTTTACCAAAGTACTTCCACTATTGTCTAATAATAAATTTTACACCTCCTGATTTTATGTCAAGTCTATCGCAACATGATAAGCGATTGAGTAACTGTTTCATGAACATAGTATTGTAAATAACTTTCAAGTTAATCTTCAATAATTATGTTACAAAAAGACCATTGTCACTATAATCAAAAACTAAGCCAACAACATTGTACTAGTTGTTGCAATGACTGTACAAGTGATATATTTAGTCCAAGCCAAGTTGCAGAGATGAATAATGAATTGTTACAGATAGCAGCAAAGGGCAACAACCATTAGTAGCTCAAGACAATGGATATAACTAGTTTCTTGTGGCAAACAAAGCAAACTTTTTCTATGAAGTAGTTCACTAAACTATTTTTATTCATTCCCCATAAGCAAACAAGACAAACCCTTGTAGCCAAAATAATGCCAATCTGAGTACAGCTTATAATTTATGATGAACATAATGAGAAACAACAGATTTTGCTAACAATATTTTATAAAACCCCATGGCTCAAAGAATCTTGAAACTTGTTTCATATTAAAAAAAAAGAAAAAAAAAAACACACGATGCTATTACTAAATCTTTGTTAATACAGACTAATATGCTATATGGTAACTTTGTGTAATTTTGTGAAAGTTTGGCATTCTAAACTACAATTCTGATACAAAATCTGAAAGAGCATTAGCATGATCTGTCACTTAATTCAACAATTAGAGCTACAACATTTATTTTGGGATTATTAAATAGGTTTCACTAAGCTGTTCTGAATAAGTGACATTGAGACTGGGATGACTATGTTCAGTCAGCTTGCACAGCTAGTATTTGACTTGCAACACCTGGCAAGACTTCAACATGTCATAAAGTTCTCACCAGACAATTATAAAAAAAAAAAAAATCCACAAAACATTTGTTTAGCTCTTATCCTCTTACAGAATTTGTATCATTTTGGACACAAAATGGGATAATCTGAAGATGTTTGTTAGTTTCCTACAGTCACTATATATTGAATATATCATATGAGATCCATAGTAACATTGAATAATTAGTCAATGTCTTTTGATGGGGAAACGTAGCATCCAAATCAGAGCTTACCGACAGCCTTTCGCACAATAGTCATGACGTGAAATATACAACCATAATATCTACGCAACTTATTCAGTCTTTCTCTTTTATGACAAATATCAACTTAGCGTATATTAAATAACAATAAGTATCTATAACACAATGATCAATTTAATCAAATCAACATGCAATTAACATTAAATCACTGAAATGCATTAATAAATCAATTTAAACCAAGCAAAAGAAAGGTGTAGACAGATGTATAGAACCTTGAAGACTCTCCTTACATCTACTCGACAAAACACTTGCCCTTGGTCATTATCACTGATAGTGTCATGCAAGACATTATTGCATGACCAGAAAATAATCTTTTGACACTAGCAGTGGTTCTAATTATAGTCAAACCATATATCTATGTACTTAGATATTATGATCCACACAATAAAATATCTATATAAAATATTGCAGGTACTCATGTATATGATAAAAATCCTTAAAATCTAAAAGGTGTTGTGAGAAAAAGGCAAAATTTTGGTAGTTGGAAGGACACCTCTGATCTTTCACACTCCAAAACTAATAACAAAAAGCATATATTTTTCCCTACATGATTTTTGCAGCTTCAAGTGATTGTCCATAAGCAATGCACCGTCTAATAGCTGAAATTAGAATGGCAGGGAATTCAAACACCCTGACAATAACTACAATACTGTCTTCCACTCAAAGAGACTTCAAAAAGAGGGCCTAGATTTGTTTCTAAATCAATTATCACTGTTATCACACACTTTTTTTTTAACACACACATTTAAGCATAAGGGTTGCTCCATACTTTAGAATCAAAGTAGGATATATTAAATACTTTATAAATATATGTCATTTTTGTTCACAGTAAAACATTATTATAACTGTTTAAAGTATCTTCTATAGACATTAACTGTCTATCATTAAACACTTACACGATAATGCATGCTACTGTACCATTTGTATATAGAAGTTTATCATTTGCACACAAATTTCTTCCCCTTTCTACTTATGTGTTTTAATTGCTTATCACTGACTCAATAAAAATAAATTCTTTTGATAAACCTAATCCATAAGCTCTTCACCCCGCACACCTTACCAATAATTTTTCTTACTTCAAGGATGCTGTACATCATCTTGAGAGTAATGTTAAGGCTTATGTTTACCATGCTTCATCTTTCACGAAAAATGACATGGCCAGAGACAATAAGCTTTTAAACTACTAACATTACAAAGCTCATTTATCCTCAAGAAAATGAAGAGCAGATTTTCTATGATAATGATCAAATAACTGTTATTAAGGTTAAACTGTTCTCTTCACAACAGAATTTACTGATATCTTGAAACCTGATAGATCAAAACAACCCATCATCACAATGTATCACCTCTCACGACACACCAGGCTCCATAGTTATATGTCCACTCGTAGGATCGTAAGACCCGGCCAAGTAATACACATCACAATTTTCGTAATTAGGTCCATATTTCTTCTCTAGCTCCCCACGTCTTACACGATATTCAGAAAGAGCAATAACATCACATTTATGGCTGATGGTCTGAACATCATTTTCGTCAGTGTGAGGAGACTGGAATAACGCTCCCTGGAAAAAATAAAAGTAAATGCAATTAGTGTATCTTACGGTGTGTGCACCGAGTACCATAAATACTTTTTATGCACTGAGCACCATATATGCTGTGTGCGCACACTGAGCACTATATACACTGTGTACACTGAGCACCATAAGCATTGTGTGTGCACTGAGCACCATGAAGATAGACTGATCCATGAGGCCCTGACGGGGCTGCTCAGTATCCATTATATTTAAGCATTTTTCTTATTGGTTTTGTATTGATTGTAATGACATCATATGGAAAGGTAAGGCAAGAGTACACAATGAGAGGTCTGCTGAGATTACAAGAGAATGACATTGGATAAATGAATAAGAACAGTTAGGGAAAGTAAGAACATTTTTCAATATAAACAATACATAGTTTAAAATGTAAATATAGGAAAAAAATTAGTTAAGTGCAAGGCAGTTAGTTGACTTTACTAGAGGTGTGGCTGAAGAGATTTTTGTACCATAGTTATGGTGGGAGCCGGTCGGCTGAGTGGACAGCACGCTGGACTTGTGATCCTGTGGTCCCAGGTTCGATCCCGGGCGCCGGCGAGAAACAATGGGCAGAGTTTCTTTCACCCTATGCCCCTGTTACCTAGCAGTAAAATAGGTACCTGGGTGTTAGTCAGCTGTCACGGGCTGCTTCCTGGGGGTGGAGGCCCGGTCGAGGACCGGGCCACGGGGACACTAAAAGCCCCGAAATCATCTCAAAATAACCTCAAGATGGTAAGGGCACGAGACGTACTATTATTGTTGATACACACAACAAAATACTTATCACAGCAGAAATTGAATAAAGTGACCAGGAGACTTTTTATTATACTTTTCACTTCACGTCACTCAGGACCAAAGAGCCGAAGCTCAATCCCTGCAAGTACAACTAGGCAAGTACTGAACTAGCAAGAAGTCGTGCATCTATACATACAATAAGATGAAGACAATGGGAATTTAAAAATATATCAAAGCAGTGACAGAATAGTTACACTGAACAAGTTCAAATGGGAAACTGAAATTTACACAACACACAGGTGTGATATTTTGAAAATTAAAACAGAGGCATTCCACAGATAGGCTAGAAACTGAGCAGAACTCTGGAGAAAAAATCAAACCCACATAACATCCCCCTGCCCTACTGAGGATACATTCCCCTGTAGCATCCCCCTGCTGAGGATACATTCCCATGTAGCATCCTCCCCTCTACTTAGGATACATTCTCCTGTAGCATCCCCCTGCTGAGGATATATTCTTGTATATAGCACCTTCCCCTTAAAGAGGATACATTCCCACGTATCACCTTCCCCTTACTGATGAATAAATTCTCATGTAGAATGTATTCTACATGAGATTCCCCCCATCCCCCCTTCTCTACTGAGGATACATTATACTGACAATGAAAAGGAAAAGAAGAAGAAAGCTCTTGTGAGGAGACAAACATACCCTTGGTTCAGTTAGTCTACGTCCTAACCCCTTCGTCTCCTGCGGATGGTAGAACCACTTCACTTTGACTACCATATTTCCTCCCCAAGATTCCCACATGTGTTCAATCCTGCCTATGTATGGTTGATCTGGTTGTCCAGCCGAGAGGAACACAGCACAGTCTTCAACCTATGGATAAAATATACAGTATATTATAAAGTGCAGCTGAGAAAAACCCTTGTGCATGTATTCATAAACATTAAATTAGAATACTGTACAAAATGACAAGAAAATAAGTTCTCCAAAGTGCCTTATCCCTATCCAGATCCCTTCCAAGGGCTATATAGTCATAATGGCTTCGCACTTTCCCCTGATAATTCCCTCCCTTCCCTCCAAAGTGCCTTCTGAAATTGTAATAATGTATACATCTATTTCAATGGGTTTCATCCTAGAGCAACACAACACTTAATTTTTACATATGTTCGTTCATGCCAGAAACACTGAATTTGCTCTGTTACCTGACTGACTATGACAATGTCTACATGAATTATTTACTGCAGCTAACTGAAACTAACGATTAAAATATGCATAAAATACATACCCTTATCATTTCTTTTCCTCTCATAATAGCTTTGAAGTACTCTTTCTTGCCTTTGCCCTTTGCTCCCGGTCTTTTAAAGCCTTTACCGTACCATCGCCACAGCTGACGTTCTGGTAGGAATGGTGCAATCTTGGATTTGCCCGATGGATGTCTCTTCTTCCGCCGTGCCGGGCTCTTAATCTGCACATTGAACTTTTGTTTAATTACATTAATTTTTCCACACAATGTCCAAATTTATTTTTTAAGATTACTCAATACATGTTTAATTTCATCGACAATACAGTATTAAAGATATTAAATCATTCTTCGGATTAATGCAAATATGCACCTGCTAAACAACTGTTTCCATACTATGCAGGATGGAACGGACTTATCACAACTAACGAGAAAATCACTTCTCAATTTGTGCCAAGTAAAATGCTGTAAGTGATGTTTGAAAGGATCAAGTTATGATCTAAATAAGAAAAAAAAAAAAAATAAGAAAAAAATATGATCTAATAAGTGGATAAGAAACACAGGATTCATTCTTCAGTCTAATGCCTTCCCTCGGGCAGCAGCTATCAATATTTTTCAAAATTTAGTGCAACTTCTTGAGCCTGGCCTTAGGCCAGGCTTGGGGAGGAAAAGAACTCGTGAGATCCTTTCCAGGCACGAACTGGAAATGCATTCACCATTATGACTCATGCAGGCGATGAGTCACAATAACGTGGCTGAAGTATGTTGACCAGACCACACACTAGAAATTGAAGGGACGACGACGTTTCGGTCCGTCCTGGACCATTCTCAAGTCGATTGTCGACTTGAGAATGGTCCAGGACGGACCGAAACGTCGTCGTCCCTTCAATTTCTAGTGTGTGGTCTGGTCAACATTATGACTCGTCATGTTATCTATATCCATGATAACATTCCAGGAATTCCATGTACTACAAATGATGTCCACACACATTTCTCAAGAATTCCATGTGCTTCAAACGGCACCAAGCTATTTCCCCATCAACCAATTAACGAACAGCTTTGCTTTCAACTGAGTCGGTAGATGGGGATATAAGGCCATCTGACCGCAGCAGCTAGGTGGTCTCAACACAGCTCGGCCAGAAGCAAGACCTTCCCTCTTCTGGCTTAACTGGCAGTCTCACAACATAGCCGCCAGCAGCAACATCTCCCTCTTGCCAGCCTTGGTTGTACCAACCATGACTAGTCTCAGCCGCCATCTGCAATTAACAGCTACACTTTACAGCTCACCTTGTCATGAAACTGTCGTGTCATACAACAACTACCGACTCGACTATTTACATCAAATATTCATCTAGCTACCATACTATGTGAATCATCCAAACTTGTCACTGTTACACAGCCACTACATATGGAAGGAGCAGCAGCAGCAGCTATATGTGGAAGGACCAGCAACAGCAGCTACATGTGGAAGGAGCAGCAGCTACATGTGGACGGAGGAGGAGCAGCAGCAGCTACATGTGGACGGAGGAGGAGCAGCAGCAGCTACATGTGGAATGAACCCCAGCTACAGGTGGAAGAAGCAGCAACAGCTACAAGTGGAAGCAGCAGCAACAGGTATAGACAGAAGGAAAAGATGAAAATGGCAAAAACTGCAATTCAGCTGTAACAGATGTTGCAAGTGACAGGAGACATAGCAAATGTTGTAGAAGCACTGGTTAGAGGCAGAAAGAAGAGCAAGAGGTGATGGAAGATAAGTGGTGTGGATAAAATCAGCTCCTGTGTGGTACAAGTAGCAGCTGCATGGAGCAATCTGTACCATGTTATGTTGGATGGAGAAGCAGTAATGAATTTCATGAAGAACAATTTACTGTAATGGAGACAGACCAGCTAAAAGGTGGTTCAAAAGTACTTTTCACATGTTATGTACTTTATGATAAAATTGCATAGCTGAGTTAATTGTGAATGTATTGATCTGCATCTCCATTCTGACCTTCCTTTTTGGCCAGAAAATAAAACAAGCTCTGTAGAATTGCAGACGTTATGTTGTTTTCTCCCGAGTTCTCAGCAGACACAGACCGAGTCCTCTTAATCTGTGGCCTGTATACTAAGGCCTGTATCCCAGCTTTTTCACCAGGTGGTCAATGTGGGTCAACTGCAGGTTCACAACCTTTGTGAGTTCATCCATTAAAGACATTCTTCCAATATCCTGCTCCAATGAATATTATATTCTGGAGGAATAATATATTTGCTTCCCAATAATTCTCCAAGATACTACCAGTGGACTGGATTGCACTTGGGTGGTTATCTTAACAATGATGATCTCTTTTGATGGGTGTATGCGTGCCATGAAACAGGACTTGCAATGTTGCTGGCTGCGTAGTGCTCCTGCCACTTCTTTAGACAATGCTACAAATAAGTCGTCTCCATTTTGTTTCTAGTTTTCTTCCTTTTACTTCAGCCCCAACTCTTGCCTAAACAAGCATCTGAGTAGGATACCTTTAAGGGGTTTACAACAAGAGCTTTTTCTGCTTGCGACACTCGGATGCTCCCATTCCATGCCCCTTGTGTCCCTGTTCTCATGAGCCTGGCTAGTCAACTGGCAGTCAGCAAGATGCACTACTTGCTGGTCCCCGAGATGCAAATTAGAGCTTGGAAGAGCTAGGAGTTCTTGAATGAGTGTTATGAAGCTCACTCCAGAATGGATTGAGCATTTCTTCAGTGCCTCTTTAGCATACCTTGAAGTGTTTACGGGGCTTAGCGTCCCCGCGGCCGGTCGTCGACCAGGCCTCCTCGTTGCTGGACTGGTCAACCAGGCTGTTTGATGTGGCTGCTCGCAGCCTGACGTACGAATCATAGCTTGGTTGATCCGGTGTCCTGGGAATCATCAGTGTAACATGGAAATACTTGTATTTTACCTGGAGTAGGTTCTGGGAGCTCTACTTCCAAAGCCTGGCCTAGGGCCACTGACTTGACTTGAGAGCTTGGTCCAACAGACTGTTACTAGCAGCAGCTCACATATCCACTGAACGAGGAAATACAGGTAGGAAACGTAGTACTAAAATAAGTCAGAGACATTAAAAGTTATTTTTTCAGTGTCAGAGTAATTAACAAATGGAATGCAATATTCAGTAATGTGTTGGAGACAGACTCTACGCACAATTTCAAATCTAGATATGATACGAGTCCTATAGGCTCAGGAACTTAAACACCAGTTGAGTGACCGTCAAGAGGCGGACCCAAAGAGCCAAAGCTCTTTGGGTCCGCTATAAGATAGTTCAACTCAACTAAGGCTTAAGGAATCATTTGCAGACTTGATTGGCTGTTTCAGTGCTTTACTTTCTATGAACCTTGCAGTTGTCTGTATTGCTTTACTTACTTCCTGGATGTTTTCTCGGTGAGGATGATTATTTTTTGCTTCCTGTGCTTCTGCGAGAGGCCCAGGTTTTGGTCCTGGTCCCCAGTAGATCAACAAGACTCAAAAGACTGGTGTGACTTTATTAGTGAGGAGTTACCTCAGCGAACTATCTTCAGGGAGCCACTGTTCAGCACTTCCAGAAAAGTAGTCAATTCATAGACTTCATTTTTACTGGCTTTTTGTTATCAAAGTACATAATCTAAAAAAAATTTGCACTATTGTATGGCATAGCAATGATTATATTATCAAATCAAATGTCCAGGAAAACCTTGACAAGCTACAGATGTTGGAAAACAAATGATTGTTAGATTTCAATCCCAGCTAATGCAATATGGTGTATTTAGGAACTGGGTAAAGGTATTAAGAAAGAAACTACACCTTAAAGGAAGGCAATTACAAGGAAAGACAAAAACTGACTTCAGCATAATTAAAATACCAGCACTAACACAAAAAAAACACAAATAGAAGCATAAAGGAAGTTGGCAAACTTAGGCAATTTCAGACCAGTAAGCAGCACTATTATTGCATCTACATCTTATGATGCACAATAAGCAGATTGAAACAAAGGAAGTGTATACCATGTGTGGTCAGCAAGTGGAACACACTGAAAGAAAGAGTTGTAGAAGCCACCTTCATCCGCAGTTTCAAGAGCAAAAACAAAACTCGACCATCAAGAGATACAAACCAGCCAAAACAAGCAGGTAAGAAGGGTGGTCTAAGCCTCTCCCTCCACAACAATGCACAATAGAAGGTTTTGCCGATGTTTACCAGATAATGTATTGTTGAAATTGAACTATTTTTCTTAAGTCTTATGTACGGTAATTATTGCAGTACGACAAAATACATCATATTTAGTAGTTTTGACCAGTAATTGAACATTTACTTACCCAACTATCCAAATGGTTGGCCACTAATCCTTTCCTTTGTCCTATTTTGAATCCTTATCCTTGTATCTCTTCAATGTGCTACATAGTCATAATGACTTAATGCTTTCTCCTGATAGTTACCTTACCTTACCTTACCTTACCTACTCTGTGCATTCTTATACAATCGTCACTCCAATTATAATGCCAAAGTTTTGTAAATACCATAAACAAAACATTTATCTCCAAATTTCTCTGTATTAGAATACTAGAGATGTCATAAGAAACACAGTACTGCATTCACATTTCATCAAATCAAATAGAACAATATAAAAACATACAATTTAATAATCATTATCATGCAAACTTCATAAAATCTGAGCTTCTGTTGAAACTCCTTGAACAAGCATCGAGTGTAATGAAACGTCTCTTTCTTGGGAAACTTTGGTGTCACCCTGTTGATATGTGCACTGAAATAGTGCCACACATCACATAAACCCTAAAAGTCCTTAAGAGCCTATTGGAGTATTCATGATTACTTTCACGGAAGAAACAAACCCTCATAAAGGAAGCAAAGGAAAATAGACAGCTTTTTATCTTTACCAAAGATAAACAATACAGCAAACTACTGTGCGAATAATCCAGAAGTTATGTCATACCCCCCTCCCCCCCTAGTTACAGCTGGCCACCACTAGGTTCCTTACACTCCCAGAAAGGGGAGTTTCATTCCATTTACATTGGTTTTCTGGAGGGGTCAGATGGTGGCTGAGGCTAACTGCAGAGAACAGAAAAATGAGACTAGGGAAGGAGAGCTAAGATCAAACCTCTGTAGGGAAAAGACCAGGACAGATAAACCTTACCCAAAGCAACACAGGTCTGACGGGGATCAGGGACACTGACCAGGTAATGAGCCACCAGGACTTTGTTAGACCTCTGAAACCTCTGAGCCTGGATACCAGCCCACAACATTAGAAAAGACAGCAAACTTCTGATCATCACGAGCCTGAGGGTAGATCACGGGCTCGCTAGACTTTATGATACTTCAGATGACTTGAGAAACAAACCTTGGAACAGGGGACAAGGAGACTGCATTAACAAAAAAAAAAAATCCCCCAAAGCAGCTTGGGTCATGCATAAGTAGTGACAGCCACCACTAGACAACAAATTATGAACCTAAGGCCAAACAAAAGGACCCCCTTCAGATGCCAACTCTCTCATTCTTTGCCAGAAGAGGAGAAGGCTGCAGACAAAGAAACTGCCCACCAACACCCTATACAGAACCCAAGAAGGCTCAAGCTGGAGGTAAATAACATACACAAGACAACTTTCGAAACTGTTAAGAGGAAGTACTGTATTAACGTTGAAACCCAACAAAAGTGGCTCCACCAAGGCCGAACAATAAGAGGCAACAGTATTTGGCAAAAGATGCCAATCGACAGACAATGAAGAGGGACAACAACAAAAATGTGTGCCCGGACACCTCATAATACTGCCACAATGAAATATGCAGATGGGAAACTGAACACACCAGGAAGCAATCCTGTCTGTGCAGAGACAACATCAAAGAGTGCCTAAAGGCAGTCCTAAGCACATTCAGCTCGAGATGAACAATTTCCAAAGTCCACATAACAAATGAGGATGTAAATGTGAAGTAAGTAAGTAAGTAAGTATCAAAAGAAGGCACCAAACCAGGTGCATGATGTGAAGCAAACTCTAAAAATTCAAGATAATTAATGGGCCCACACAGGACAGAGTACAAAGGATGACCAAAACTTATCTAGAAAATTTGGGATCCAAAGGTCTGGTGACTCTAGGTGCAGGTCAGGCCACACATGTTTGAGATCACATGAAGGACTGAAAATTGTGTACATGGGGGATCCAGCACCACCACTCCCAGCAGGTGGTGACAGTAATTAGTGGAGTATGGTGTGTAACTACTGGGTGGATCATTTGTGGAGTCACTTGCTGCATTGTTTACCTTATGTGCACCTTTGCAGTTATCTGCTAGTCTTTGCTTCCTTTTTGGGGTTTGTTTCTTCATTGCAGAGTGATATAGAATCCCCTGCTCCCTGTGTCTCTGTGAGGGAGGATGCCAGATTTTGGCTTCTGGACTCTGATAGGCTATTACCAACTCCTAGAGCTGATGTGACGTGTGTGGGTGTGTGCAGCTATTTCAGAGTGGCAACAGAAATGCCACCATTCACACACTCCAGAAATGAATGAGAACATAAGGAATTATGCAGCATACAAAAATGTGCATGGTAATAAAATATGCAAAAAGAAAATAACAAATCAAAGTTCATATATACAGAGTTATATATACGTAAGAACACAGAGCAAATAATTCTGAAAAGTGTAAGTGCATGTGGTGGATAAACTGAATAGCACAGAATGTTGCGCGTGTCAGAGAGGGTTTGAGACTAAGCTAATAAAAATATTGGTCAGTTAAGGAACTAAAAGTGTTAGCACTAAGACCTAATTTGGTTATGTTTTTTATATATTTATATATATATATACTGTATGTAGTTAGATACTACTTACCACTTCCTTTTTAGAAGGTGTGTATTCTGAATCATTATCCTCAGTCTCATCCTCTGATGGGCTCTTTGATGAGGAACTATCCAATTCTGATTCTGATTTCTCTCGGTATGAGGGTCTCCAGGTCTCCCCGAGGGGAGGCGGCGGAGATTTGATCCTCATGGTAAGTTCGTTCACCCCGGGTTCTACGTGTGGTAGAGGCCTATCACCCTCCCGATGTTTGTGTTTGTGTTTAGTTTTGTGTTTATGATGGTGGTGAGGAGATGATTCAGTGTGCTTATGTTTTTTGTGTTTCTTTTTTTCAGTTTTCTTGTTTACCTTCTTATTTCCATTTTCTTCGTTCTCGTTCTTCTTGCTTTTTATATTACCAGAGGTCTTCTTATTTTCCTTCTCCACCTCATTATTTTCATCATTTTGGTTATTAGAAATATTTTCGTTCTCATTGTTATTGCCCGAGAGTGTCCTAGATTTCTTTCCTTTTGATTTAGGAACGTCATCTTTGACATCCGGAAGACTGTCACCTGTTGGTCGTCGTTTCCTTTTGTTCAGACTCATTAGGGGATTTGGGTCATGCTCTGAAGGGAGAAAAAATAAATGGCATCTAGAACTTCACATTTCAAGAAAAGATTACTAGTTGTATAATAATAATAAAATATTGAATTGAAAAAATATCATTATGCTGGATGAATTTGTGAAGTGTTTTACATGTAATGTGAAAAATATATATGTATATATATAATATGTATTCCAACAAATTTCTGTCTCTGGTTTTAACACAAACTTCTTATTACCATCTCATAAGACTACAAAAAAAAATTCACAAATACTGGTTGATACAAGAATCTTATTTACCATTCCCTAACAACATACAGTGTACAGAGATATGCTCAGGATTATGTTGTGAAGAAGTTTTGCTTGAATTAGCTGGCCGTGGATTTAATAGCATTAATCACAGAATGATTCATTCTTACAACATCCTCCTTGTGGCACATTGAGGAATGAGCTGCTGTGCAGAGTACAGTATTACAGTACTATTAATGTAAACCAAAATATATCTCAAACAGTTAGAAACTTGAGGATAAAACCTTTGGTGTTGCTAATCTACAAAAGTTCTCGTTATGATGTACAATTACGTCATCACCAACTGCTAAATCTTTAGTAGCCTCAAGCTCGCTCTTTCTCATCCCATTTCTTCATTTAGGCTACTTAACCACTGAAACAATTCTTGTTCACTGTACCAATTACAACTACAGTACCTTCAATAAAAACACAAACCATTTTGTTTCGGTTTCAATATAACTACCTGCTTTTCTCCCATTAACTGCATATTCTGTGAAAAGAGATTTTTGCCATGTTATCCAGATAATAAACGTCAGCATTAAGATCCAGTTATTATTTTCCATTCATTCTACAGGGCGTTTCAAAATTCCAGACTCACGAACAGATTTAAATAACTACAGTATTTAACTATATTTCATTAAAGATCCAAAATGTATACAATGAAGTTGCATACTTAGGTAAATTTTGTCACATATTATTAATAATTTTGGCACTCTTGCTCCCAATGTTTTCCCCTTAGCTTGTCAATAATGGTACAGTACAGTATTTACTACTTATAAACTACTATTTTGATATGTCCTTAAAGGGAAAACTCACAGGGGGTAAGATCTAGATTCATATAGTCACACATTTTCTTCTATCATACGAAACTGAAAGAGTTTAAATTAACTCTAAATATCCGAGTCCATATTTTTGAGACACCCTGTCTTACACAACAAAGGTTAAGTCTGTATTAGCTTACCAAGGATTGGAAACTCCGGGGGTAGAAGGCGAATATCATCCACATGGATTTTACCGGCATCACCGTCATCAAACTCGACATTCACTAAATTATGGTTGGCTTCGTGTGCTGGAGACGTAGAGGCAGCTATTGAACCTGCCGACAATTTTATAAACACATTTATCTAGAGCTCTATGCTGTTTTATATGTAAAATATTTTAGTGACAAAAAAATACCAACAAACTTGTCTACTTCGATCACCTTCATCTCAAACTTTGATTACCTTCATCTTGGCTATAAGAGGTAACAAAAACGGTAACACCTTGTCACGTACATTACCTCTGCAAGTGAACACACTGACTGCAATATTTATAAGATATAAAAGTTGATGTGATGTTGGCATGATGAAACGAAGCATGAATATATGTAAAAGGCTGGAAAGATGAAGCAGTAACTTGGTGCTGAGATCAGCAGCTATGGCTGTAGAAAGACACACCCAGTGTAGCAGGAAGCAATAGGATTAGCAGGAAGCTAAAGGAATAACAGAAATCGATTGAAGTAGCAGGAATCAACATGACGCTTCATGAGTAGCAAGGAGCAATAGGAGTAGCAAGGAGTGACCACTAGCAAGGATCAACAGGAGTAGCAGGGAGCAATAGAAGTAGCAAAGAGCATCATAAGTAGCAAGGAGCATCAGTAGTATTAGGGAGCATCACGAGTAGCAGGGAGCAATAGGAGTAGCAGGGAGCAACACGAGTAGCAGGGAGCAATAGGAGTAGCAGGGAGCAATAGGAGTAGCTAGGAGTGACAACTAGCAAGCATCAACATGAGTAGCAAGAAGCAGAAGTAGCAGGGATCAACAGGAAGAGCAGGGAACAACAGGAGTAGCAGGGATCAACAGTAGCAGCAAGGATCAACAGTAGCAGCAGGGATCAACAGGAATAGCAGGGATCAACACAAGTAGCAGGGATCAACAGGAATAGCAGGGATCAACAGGAGTAGCAGGGATCAACAGTAGCAGCAAGGATCAACAGTAGCAGCAGGGATCAACAGGAGTAGCAGGGATCAACAGGAATAGCAGGGATCAACAGGAGTAGCAGGGATCAACAGGAATAGCAGGGATCAACAGTAGCAGCAAGGATCAACAGTAGCAGCAGGGATCAACAGGAATAGCAGGGATCAACACGAGTAGCAGGGATCAACAGGAGTAGCAGGGATCAACAGGAGTAGCAGGGATCAACAGGAATAGCAGGGATCAACAGGAGTAGCAGGGATCAGGAATAGCAGGGATCAACAGGAATAGCAGGGATCAACAGTAGCAGCAAGGATCAACACGAGTAGCAGGGATCAACACGAGTAGCAGGGATCAACAGGAGTAGCAGGGATCAACAGGAGTAGCAGGGATCAACAGGAATAGCAGGGATCAACAGGAGTAGCAGGGATCAACAGGTATAGCAGGGATCAACAGGAGTAGCAGGGATCAACAGTAGCAGCAGGGATCAACAGGAGTAGCAGGGATCAACAGGAGTAGCAGGGAGCAACATATGTAGCAGGGATCAACAGGAATAGCAGGGAGCAACAGGAGCAGCAGGGAACATTTTATAGTTAAATCTAATTATATTACTGTATTCATGTTATTATTAGTACACTGTAACTAGATATATTCTGCATCATTTGTATTCACTGTCAGTTCAGTTATATTATGAATAATTGTATTCATAAATGCATAACATCTTTCAATATTTGTATAATTTATTATAATTATTATTATTATTAATAAAATAGGGTCAGACTGAGGAAGCAAGCAGGTGTATGGGGGTCTAAAATTGAAGAACTGTATTGATTTGCACAAGAAAGTTTGGAGGAGCTATTAAACCCGAAATGTAACTGGTTGCTGGCATTGTGTATTAAATATTGCCTATCAGAGGGGCTTGCATGAAATATCAAACCCCTTTTATTCTAAGAGCTTACATTCCTAGTGAGGTAGGCTGGACTACAAGCTACTAGACTTTATCCACACACCTGGATAAAGAGCACGATACTGCTGCGACCAGAAGGCACATACACGAGTTCCCTCGGCAAGAAATCTGGTGGTGCCGGGTTTCACTTCCTTCCACTGAAATATACAAGGCATGAATGCAGAATGCCCATTAAGCCTGTGATCCAACTCGGGGTAACGAATGTTCACACCAGTGAGAATTTATTTTTTATCATAACATCTACTTCCTTTATGGTGAAGGTCATTAAGATGCACAAAATGATTTGAAGTCGATTCATTATATGGAAGCCTCAATCAAGATGAAGTTTAAAGAACATAGCTCGAGCAAACTTACCGACTGTTCTAGTAATTCTTCCCTACAGTAGATGTGTGGACGTGAACCTCGTTCACCATCAATGACAACACCATATACATCAGGAGGTCTAATGGGGACTACATTCCCTGCGTACAGTAATCCATCTTGTAGCACCAGTACTCTTGCCTTATCCACCAGATCACCAACCTCTATAACACATACACTTGGCTCTGTTATAGAGAAAATACAACTTATGAACATTCTACAAGGCTATTTATAAGACTTTTAATAATTCTTAATATTATCATGTAACCTGTCTTGAAATTTAGTTGAAAAAATTTATTACCCAATAACCTATTTATTACCCAATAACCTATTAGATAATGTCTGTAGTCATTCATAACTGAAGAAGAAAGGCAAGGAAATATAAGTAACACTGGACTTTCAGTGATTGTATGATCAGAAATATCATAAATTATAAAGGGCCTATAAGAATCTGTTTAGTGAATATTGAAATTACAGCCCACCTGTATCAAAAGAAAAATTGAATCTTGTAATTAAATTCCTCACAAACAAAAAGACATTATTGCATTGCATGAAATTTAAAGGGAAAATTTTTTGCCTTTTTCCTGTCACATTTCTGGAAGCAAGGGATAGAACTGATATATCTATCTATATCTATCTATCTCTCTCTCTCTCTCTCTCTCTCTCTGAGTGATGGGTAGGTGTGGGTGTGACTAATGTGGCTGCTTGTAAATGGTGTATGCAGAAGCATACATCATTTTACAAGGAAATGATCCTTATCCTTATGAGTTTATTCTTGCATTGCATGCAGTACTAATGTACTTTATACCCACATTCTGCTTTCAGAGGTTAGTAAAGTTTAATCAGCTCTTTTCAACTGTAAAAAAAAAAAAAAAAAGTCTTTCCACTATATTCACATCCCTTACCTGGTGTCTGCATAGTGGGTCTTTGAGTATCATTTGTGGTTGTGGTGGAAGTAGTTGTGGTGGTTGTGGCAGCAGTGGTAGTAGTGGTGGTGGTAGTGGTGGTGGTGGTGGTGGTTGTTGCAGCAGTCGTCGTTGTTGTTGTTGTGCCAGCCATGGTGGTAGTTGTGGTAGTATCAGTGGAAGAGGTGGTTGCATCCACAGACGTTGACGCTGAAGAAGGGGGGTCCGCCTCGCCAGCTGTGGTGTGCTGAGTAGTCTCGTGGTCACTGCTTGAGGACTCTGCACCTGCGTCTTGAGTTTCATCCTTGTCTTCTCTATCTTTCTCATCCTCCGACTCATCATGCTCAGCAGCGGCCATAGTCGAGTGCTTCTTGAGTGATCTGGTTTTAAAATCATCTCTGATATACTTCTGAACTCATGTCTTTAAACACATGTAGGTATGTAATACACAAATTGAAAAATGTATGTATGGATTTTTGTCTACATACTTGTGCACTTGTATGTCTATATTCCAAAATTTAGAGCAGGAAATGACTACGAGGGCTAGACTCGTAGAGGCTTGATTGGATTCCAGGAAACAGAAAAAAATTTAATATGTCAAAAGACAAAAATAAGTGACTTTATAGATGCCCATTCTGAAGACAAAAATTTTAAATTGTGGGAGTGCCAAGACATTTTACCAGATGTGGAATAATTAAGGTTGATGATCAGAATACAGTACATGCATTCACTCAGCATTGATGATGATGATGGGATGAACAAATCCGCAAGGGCCGTGATGAGGGTTTGAACCTACGCGCGGGATGTTCCCACAGCTGCACCTTAACCAACTGTTCCAAGACATGGTTAAAAGAATTGCAACCTGGAGTGCTACTGGAGTGCAACCTGGAGTGCCCTCACTAGAATCCTGAAGCTTCTCTGAAGCCCATCGGGGTTTCACACAATTCTTCGGGATCCTAGTGAGGGCAGTAGCACTCCAAGTTGCAATTCTTTTAACCATGTTGTGGCACAGTTGACTAAGGCGCAGCTGGGAACATCCCGTGCATAGGTTCGAACCCTCATCACGGCCTTTGTGGTTCTGTTCATTTGATATATCATGCTATTGTGATATCTGTGTGTAATGATGGGATGAAAATATTAGCATACAAAATTTCATGATCTTAACCTGTAAAGAGCTTCCATATGTGACTGTTTCTCTGCAGCAGATTTTCGTTTTTCTTTATCTCTGAGCATGGCTCTTCTGGTAAGGGATGTACGTCCTCGTGGGCATCCTCTCTTTCTCGCACCCCTCAGTGCATCGGCATTACTTACACACATTGTCTGAAAGAAAGAATTTTCTTTTTATCAAGTTTCAACTTCATTTCCCACAAATAAAGGTGGAATTAGGTATCTTACATGGAGTATTATAATTTGAATACATAGCCCAGACCAGAATAGTTATTACAAAAATGCACAGCATTTATTTGTCCATGTTTATTTATTTTTTAATTTATTTATTATATATATATATATATATAATATATATATATATATATATATATATATATATATATATATATATATATATATATATATATATATATATATATATATACAGTATATATATATACAGTATATATATATACAGTACAAGAGTTCTTCCATTCTTGTACAGCCACTAGCACGCATAGAGTTTTGGACAAGTCCTTAATCCTAATTTTCACACACAAACATCTGCAGGAAGCAGTCTGTAGCAGCTGTGTAACTTCCAGGTACTTTTTACTGCTAGGTGAACAGGTCATCAGGGTGAAAGAAACTCTGCCCATTTGTTTTCACCTCTGCCAGGGATCGAATCCGGTCTCTTAGGACTACGAACCCCGAGTGTTGTCCACTCAGCCGTCAGGCCCCAACCCCACCCAATATTATATCACTGTTTATACTGTCTTTGTTTTGCATAAAAATTTTGTCTCCTACTCATGCAAATTAAATTAGCTAAAACTAATATACAGTATACTTATACAAAATTACATAGGAAACTGTAGAAGGCCTATTGGGCCCATTTCAGTTTTTAAGTTTGTTTTGGAATAAATACGTAATCAGAAATACTACAGTATATGTGTAACCTATGACTGAAATACACTACTGTTGCCTAGTTACCTGCGCCATAAACCAATAACCCTGTTTTCAAACCAGTATTTACCCAGTTGTTTTCAAAATCTAAACTTATTTAACTTGTATCCATCACTATACGCTAAATTTTGTGTTGATATATTTAGCAATTTATTAATATTGCTCTTGTAATCGGTATATTTTTCATCCCTCCTTCAATTTTAACTTATCTTGCTTTACAAATGGCTACTGTGATTATTGATTAAAGCCATTTTCCCATAATAGACATTAAGCTAATTGGCCATAAATGAGCTTTCAATATGAAATATACTTCGGTGATTACTTAAAGATCATTGTTTTAGAAAACCACAGTGTCATTGGTGTAAAATATCAGTTGACATGGATAACGACCAATGGTTCTCACGATGTGTTTGATGTTCTCTATTACTAAGCATCATTAACAGAAATAAAATATATAAAGAAAACTATTATACTACAATGAGCATTATTAAAAAAAACAATGTTGAATGTAATGAAACACCATTTTCTGGGTGAGACCCAGAGGCTCCCCAGAGCTATCCAGGACGACATGGTAATGCCAGACTTTGGCATCAGTCACGTGTATGGAGTTCTATGGGCCTACCAGGGATCACACGCCAGAACCTGGCCCCCTCAGAAAAGGAACGAGGAGCAATGGCCTAAAGAAACCCCTGTGTGGTTAGAAGCATTCTATGTCTGCCATCGACTGGGTCAGGCACCCAGAAAGGTAAGCGTTCCAAAACAAACCCCTATTCTGGTGAAAATTGAGACGAAAAGCCGAACAAGTGGATAGAACTCCCCCTAACAGAAACAGGCAAACGAGTATGACATCACACATTGCCACACGGCTGTCTGCGCAACTCCCCCCTCCCCGGTAAGGGAAAGGGGAGCCACAGACTCCCGCTCCGGCAATCCATCTCTCAGTTCTGAGGCTGGACATCAAAACACGTGAAAAACCACCGATTGGGGGGGGGGGGGGAGGGTTGCCGGGGAGCCTCCGGGTCTCACCCAGAAAATGCCGTTTCATTACATTCAACGCTGGTTTTCTAGGAGGAGCCCCATCGGCTCCCCAGAGCTACCTAATCCAAAGATGAAAAGAAGAGGGACCTAACCTGGGAGGCAGAAGACGCACACACCCCCAACGCGTAGCATCTCTGCCAGTGCCGCACAAGACAAGGTGACAGTATGTGGCAAGATGACGGCCCTAAACCTCCACAAGAGAAGGACCAGACCACGCCAAGAAAACATAGCAAACTGAAGAAGGGATAGAAAGAAAAAGGAAGGATTGCTAAAGAAAACCACACACTGCCGCCAAGACGAAGCACGCAGGTGGGACATCATCAACGAAGCCACCTGACCACCAACAAATGGCGAGATACTCGAGGCAGAACCGAACCAGCCCCGCCACGAGCCGATCGAACACAGGAAGAGGCGAAGCCATGGAAAAACCTCGGGTGCAACCACCGAGCAAGCAGAGCCAGAACCCAAGCCAGCCAGGAATGAGAAGGAACGTCTGCCGTACAGAAAACTTCCTCATGCCAGCGAGCTCGCCAGGAGATCGGAGACACTGTGGTTCCGATGTCTGACTCATGAAAAGTGACACCGCGAGATGCGGAAAATGCCAACTGGCAGGGTAAGCCAGGAAATCAGGAACCCAAACCCGGCAAGCCGTGAAAGAACCAAACATAGGGGCGGTGCAAAAGCAGGGAACTGAACATGGACAAAGTCCAACCTAGGAGTAAGAGAGTCAAGAAGTACATACAAAACCACACAACAATGTGTACCGAGAGGGTCGAGGTAACATTAGAACTATTACATCCCATGATACTTAGTTATCACAACACAAACAAGTGTAAACGAACTTGTACAGGGCTCCTCGCAGACGTCAAGCCCTGATGAGTAACCTACATGCAAAACAATCCAACTACCCCTCACATAGCACCCTGCAGGACAAATGACCGGAATTGGATACAGTATAACAAGCCATACGGACTAGAAAAACAGCCCCAGCACCAGCAGCTAGGGACAAGAGCGTAGAAGGAAGATGAGGAACGAGGAAGACAAGCAGCAACAAGAACAAATGGGACAGGACCAACAACACAGAGGCCATGTCGATGTCAGGAGATTGACAGTCGAGAGGCGGAACTGAAGAGCCAAAACTCAACCCCCCGCAAGCACAACTAGGTGAGGACAACGAGGCGAATAGAGAATCGAAGGAATATGGAAGGGCTAAGCCAGGCACTGCAAGACAGTCAAGGAATAAGTGACCAAAATAAGACCACGAAAGACGTGGCCGTGCCCCACTGTGTAACAAATAACACAGAGTGTTAGTGGAGTTCATGTACCATGCATCCCCACACCCATCCAGTGGGCAGCAGTGGGAAGGGTCACAGAGGCACACAATGGGCTCAGAAACTGAACCCACAATTCACTGAGCCAAGCAAGTTACAATCTTAAGGAGCTAGTTACAAAATTCAGTATAAGTCGCCACAGACCAACAAAGAAAACCACAGGAAGAAGGATGCAAGGGGTCAAACAAAATGCCACAACCAACCCCCAACACGCACGCAAAAACCACGAACCAGCGCCGAAAGAGATGCCTCACGGCATAAACTCACCTGCAGAGCGTAGGCACGAACATGTCACGACACATCGTAGCCGAGAATATTCCGGGAGCACCACCAATGGAATAAGGCCAGAGCTGCACATGCAAGAGAAAAGTAGGGTAGAGGCGAACACAGCGCCAAACACCCGAATGCAGAGAAAACTAGGTGCCCTCCCCATATTTGTAATCCAGAACACCCCCCAGTATCTACGGGGCACGAACTGGAGAGAAGAGAGGAGCGAGAGAGGCGAAGCTCCCGAGAGAAAAAGGATGCAGAACACCAGTACTTGTGTACACCGTCCATAACAAAACAAACTCCCATGGCACATGCGCAGGACGCATGAAGTTCAAACTGCACAACCCTGCCCGGCGGGGAGGGCGCCAACGAGGATTATTGAAGGAATATTAGCAGTGCCTAGACAGAGCACGGAGAGAAGATATAATGACAAAAGAACAAGACCCTAAGACGACAGACGTTGCAATAATGCGGGAAGAGGCGAAGACCTCCCTGAACCCTAGAGATCTTACAGAAGCAAGCACAATATCACGAAGGCTCATAAAGGCACAGTCACACCCGAGACTGGGTAACTGAGTCACAAACAAGCAACAAAACTCACTGAACTCTGGGTCGAAAGTGCCACCGACCCCACAGGCAGCAGACGGAGGCAAAAACAGGGAGAGTCACCCTGAGACAAGGGGACAGAGCAACCCTCGAACTAGCACAAAGCGAGGGGGAACTCAGGAGTCACATCCATCAGACTCACGCGCCCCATGGGAATTCCCAGGGTCCTGAGACGGAACTCGTGCTCAGGAAAGCCCAGGCAGGGTACTGCTAACTGGCGCCCAAGTCTATGCAACAACCTTCTAAGAACTGAACCCCCAGGACGTGTACACTCACAGAGACCAAGCAGGGGGAACCACCAGAAGAAGAAGAGTACTCAGCACACAGGGGGCAAGAACCAAGGCATGCCTGGTGGGGGCACCAGGCAGGCAAACAAAAAAGAAAAAGAGAACCCTGCAAGAGGACAGCGTACCCAGGCAGAACAGAGCTGGCCGCTTCGATTGGTGAAAACAAGCTGCACAGTACCCTGTGCCCCTACCAGTGCAAACTGCCGCCTACCCTAAGGCGAACAAAGAAAACAAAACACCCAAATACACAAAGGGCTGAAAATCAAACAGTTAACGGCCTAGCAGAGGCAGAACCCAAGGAACTTGTGGAAGGTGGCCCCAAGCCCCAAGGGCAGTATTTACTGGGCACCTAGGGAAGGAAATCCTAGGCGCATACAGCCCGAGTATTGAAGAATCACTCCTGGCTCATGCACCACCTAGAAGATAGTCACCACACACAAGGCACAATAGTGCTGAAACAACCACTGGAGCCCGAGCACACGACTGTTGCCTATAGCATCAGCCTCAGAACTGAGAAGTGGATTGCCGGCATGGGGGGTCTAGGGCTCCAACTTCCCGCTACCGGGGAGGGGGGAGCTGCGCAGACAGCAGCGCGGCGACGTGTGACGTCATACTCGTTTGCCCGTTTCTGTTAGGGGAGTTCTATCCTCTTGTACGGCTTTTCGTCGCAATTTTCACTACAATAGGGGGTTTGTTTTGGGATGCTTATCTTTCTGGGTTTCCTGACCCGGTCGATGGCAGACATAGAATGCTTCTAACCACAGGGGGGGTTTCTATAGGCCATTGCTCCTCGTGCCTCTTCTGAGGGGGGGGGGGGGGCCAGGTTCTGGCACGTGGTCCCCGGTGGGCCCACAGAACTCCATACACATGACTGATGCCAAAGTCTGACATTAGCATATCAGCCTGGATAGCTCTGGGAGCCAATGGGGCTCCCCCCAGAAAATTTATTGAATTCCAATCAATATACAATAAAATTACGAAAAAGCTATAATTTTTTTTTAAACTACACATATGAAGAGAAATAAAAATAAATATATAAATATATAAATATACATATACTGTATAATTATATGTATATTTACACTATAGAAATATAAAATATACATCTTGTGACCACTCCCTAAGTATAATATTTCGGTTAACATCCCTTGCTTACATACTTGCATGTAAACTTTACAAAAAAGAATAGCATAACAAAATTTTATTTTCCAAGCTATCAACTTACAGTCTTATGATCGTCCTCATCTTCAGACTGATCCTTAGAAGTGTCCGTGTTTGAAGACAACTTGTAGTGTGAGTGAGGCGCAGCTTCTTCATCCTCCTGCCCAACCTCTCGCACCTGTTATGTGGAGAACAAGATGTACCGTGTTATGTACAATATCAGAGCTTTTGATATGGTCAGCAACTGTAATATTCTTCCAGTCTTCAGTTACATAACCTGCTGTAATTGTTTAGTTTTTAATAAAATGAATTTTCTTTCTTTTTAACATTTAAAATTGAATTTAAAACAAGATTTATATACAAAAAACACCAATAATAGTAATGTTTGCATCGTACATTAACAATTAAGAATAAGAGGGAAGAAGTACAAGACTTTAACAAGATGCACTCCCCCCCCCCCCTTTCACACTGCAAGTCACGGTTCACGACTTCGACTTCCCACCATTAACTGTGTACAGTAACACAAATCAAATTGTAGCAAGATTTAGGACATGGCTCACAAATTTAATTCTTAAATTCATTTATACGAGCCAAAAGCTTTATATTCTGTGAACGTACAGTGTATGATATCCATTATAGGGATAAAGCATGTTGGATAAATCTTTTCTCATGTCCATTTATAAACAATTTCAATTTAATTTTATTTATGTAAATTATTTAGGTGATATGAGCTTTCATAAATGCCAAGATATTAATCCAATAATGGAAAAAATACTCGGGAACAATGAAGGGACCGTTAATAAGCCGCCGGCTTCTCATCCGTGCAGAGATCCCTGCAGATGAAGGACCTCAGATAAATTGTATCATGAAGGATAAACCAACCATGATGCCAACAATGTTTGGAAGGGGACCCCCCCTCCCCCTTCCAAACAGTAACACCTTTCCTACTCCTCCTCCCCCACCCTCCTCCTCATTGCTTTCCATATGCCAACAAAGAGTCATCAATAAAGGTAAGCTATAACTTGTACATATTATACAGTAATACAAAATATGTGTGGGTGTGTGTGTGTTATGTATGAAATGTATTTTGAAGTTAATTTGTTTGAGAGTGGAACGGATTAATTCAATTTACATTATTTCTTATGGGAAAATTCATTTCGAGTTACGACCCGTCTCCAGGAACGGATTAAATTTGTAAATAGATGCAAGTACAACTGAAGATACATGGATGGATATATGGATATATGGATATATATATATATATATATATATATATATATATATATATATATATATATATACATATATATATATATATACATATATATATATATATATATATATATATATATATATATATATATATATATATATATATATATATGTATATATATATATGTATATATATATATACATATATATATATATATATATATATATATATATATATATATATATATATATATATATATATATATATATATATATATATATATATATATATATATATATATATATATATATATATATATATATATATATATAATATATATATACAGTATATAT